TATGTATGTATGTATGTATGTGAGTGTGTTTTCCCCCCCCCGCTCCTTTCACCACTCCTATCCAGACGTAAAGCAACCATAATACAGTATGAAATAAAACGTCATAATCTCAGCCTACACACCTTTTCAAAATAACGTAACCCCTTTCAAACATATCATAATTCACACAACTTTGCAACATAAAATAACCCACACACCTTTCACGCATAACTCACACACCTTTTCAACATAATCCACACTCCTTTTCAACATAAGCCACACACCTTTTCAACATATTAGCCACACACCTTTTAAACACAACCCACACACCTTTTCAACATAACCCACACACCTTTCCAACATAACCCACACACTTTTCCAACTTAACCCACACACACACCTTTCAAACATAACCCATACACATTTCAAACATAACCCACACACCTTTCAAACATAACCCACACACCTTTCAAACATAACCCACACACCTTTCAAACATAACCCACACACCTTTCAAACATAACCCACACGCCTTTCAAACATAACCCATACACCTTTCAAACATAACACACACACCTTTCAAACACAACACAACCTAAACACCTTTCAAACGTAACCCACACACACCTTTCCAACATAACCCACACACACCTTTCAAACATAACACACACACTTTTCAAACATAACACACACATCTTTCAAACATAACACAACCTAAACACCTTTCAAACATAACTCACACACACCTTTCAAACATAACCCACACATCTTTCAAACATAACCCACACACCTTTCAAACATAACTCACACACCTTTCAAACGTAACATAAGCCACACATCTTTCATACATAGAATAACCCACACACCTTTCAAACATAACATAACCGACACACCTTTCATACATAGAATAACCCACACATCTTTCACACATGAAAAATCCCAAACACCTTTCAGGCGTAACATAATCAACACATCTTTAACAGATCATAATCCATACAACTTCCAGACTTAGAGTAACCCACATCTCTTTAGACATAATGTAACACAACCACAAAACCTTTCGAATTAACACAGCCCAGTCACCTTTCAAACTTAACATAACCCACACATCTTCCAAGCATAACATAACCCTTGCACCTTTCAGACATAGCATTTCTGATACACCTTTCAAACATAACCCACAACCTTCCGAACAACACGCCTTTAAGCATAACCTACACACCATTCAGATATAGATCTAACCAAGTACACACCTTCAGGCATAACCTACACACCTTTCAGATGTAACCAACACATTTTAAAACATAACCTACACATCTTTCAGTAAGCTTCAGACATAACCCACACACCTTGTTTAGTCTTGGAGCCGTAGGGAGAAAATCCAGACGGTCTTTCTGTACTGGAAGCCATCTTGCCAGAATCCAGTCTGTCTGCGATTTGTATGCTTACTGCTTATTTTATTACTGAACACGTTAGTACATATGCTTAGGTTCTTTTAGCTTGTTAAGTTTACACGTTAAAGAGCTTTAGGTTCTGGACGACTTATTTCGTATCTTGAGTAATCATTAACATTCCTTTCATTATTTATTTCACCACTCATTTTATTATTTATTTCATGATCTGTTTAATTATACATGTTTCATTATTTACTTTATGACTAATTTCATTTCTAATTTCACGTCTTATTTTATCAGTTAATCGATTGTCTACATAATCACTACTTTCATTACTTATTTCATTAATGTTTCCATCACATTTGATAATTTATTTCATCACATTGCCGACTTCAGAGTGTAAAAATATTGGGTGTCAATTTAAGTTCAGCTACACCAATTAATTATTCAAAGCAGAACAAAAATACTCCACAGGTTCCTTCGATTTAAAATTTATGGAATTATAAGTATCTATGGATTCAGGGGAGTTGTTCCACCTCAGGCGATTACTTAAGCTTAATTTTCTTTCAAAAATTTAATTTAGAGAACGTTATTTCCAAGTCAAATATCTACTTTTCGTCGTGTCAGGATTGAAAAGTTCTGTGTGGATATAGCAGCCTTTGATCGATGTTGTTGATTGCTGAATGGTTCTTCACGTAGCGGGGGTTGGACTCATCCGTTTCTTGTTGATTGAAGTGTGATGACACGGCTCTTGGGTTTGGGTGGATATCAGCTTGACAATAAAGGTAGAGACAAAAATTTAGAGCGACAGGATGCACAAAACTTTTTTCACCGGGGGTGGAGGGGGGGGGATTAGGGAGGTGGGGATGGGATGGAAAGTTGATGGAAAGTTGAGGGCGGAGCTACATTAATATGCAGATTGTGTTGCAGAATGAGTAAAGAAATGCAGCATTTGAGAATGATCTTTTAAATATATTAAGTATTATGAAAGGGGTATCGGTCGATCTCCCTGAAGTCAGATTGGGCGCTCAAATAGACTACTTGTATATACTTTACTCACTTGGAAGCTCACTTGGAACGAGCTTGGAAGGATAGCTCAGGACAGAGATAAATGGAAGGAGCTTGTATGTGGCCTATACCCTGCCAGGGGTGAAAGGCATTGATGATGATGATATACTTTACCCACAGGTTCTCTTACGTATACAGTACAGCAAATTATGGACACTCAAACACACACAGAGAAACACACATAGGTACAAACACTCATGCATATTATTATTATACACACACACACACACACACACACACACACACTATACACACACACACACACACACTCACACACA